AAAAAAAAAAAGTGTGGAGGACCTGGAGAAAATGTGACAAGAGCAGAAAAATTGAAATTGAATCAAGTTATGCAAAAAGTCAAAATCAAAAGCGGGTGACTTTGCGAGAAGGCAAAGAGCAGTTCATTTGGCTTCAGAATTAAATTAGTCGTCTGTTACAGACGAATTTCACACTGCAAAATGTAGGAAATGTATTTAAATGTTCACTGAGCTAATAAATCCGATAAGTCGTTATGATCTTACTGAGCTCTCTTTGCTCCCTTCTGTGAACACGTCCATGCCTGACCACCGTCTGCAGGGAGAGTTTGTCCCATCGCTCTGCTGTGCTGCCCTCAGCCTGGTTGGCTGTGTCCAGCCCCACAGACCTTCCTGCTTCTGTCTCAGAGCCTGTGCACTTGCCAGTCCCTCTGCTTGGACAGCTGTCCCAGATCTCCAAGCAACCTCTGCGTCTGTGTTCAGGCCTCAGCTCCCCCAGTTCCTTTGAGGGACCTTGTCTGGTCACCCTTGCTGAAGGAGGACCCCACCATCAACCCCTGCTTCTCCCACTACCAGGCTTCTTCTCTGCGCCACAACCCTGCTTTATTTTATCCTTCATGGCCCTTGCTGCCGTATGCAGTGATATACATGTACTCACTGCCAGAGTCATTGCCATGAAGAGTAGATGGAGATGTAAAAGTAGAGCCCAGTGCTTGAGAGCAAGGTCGGGGGGCCAGGCAGCGCTGCCACTTACTAGCTGTGGTCCTGGGCAAGGTACCAAATCTTGTGGGGCCTCAAATTTCTCACCTGGGATGGTAATGTCCACCTCATAGAGTGTACTGTGGACTGAACTGGGCCCTCCTTGCTTCGTATGCTGAAGTCCTAACCCCGGGTGTGGTTGTATTTGGAGGTGGGGCCTGTGGAAGGAGAACTCATCGTGGAATTAGTTCCCATGTAAGAAGAGACCAGAGAGTTTGCTCTCTCGCTCTCGGCCCCCAGCGTGAGGACACAGAGAAGGTGACCATTTGCAAGCCAGAAAGAGGGTCCTCACCAGAAACCAAATTTGAACTTTCTGCCTCCTGAGCTGTAAGAACTAGAAACGCCTGTTGTTAAGCCACCCAGTCTACGGTATTTTGTTGTAGCAGCCCTAACCCACCAAGACAGGGCTATTGGGAGGATTTGGTGAATTAATGGATGTAAGGCAAACACACTAATGCCTGAAACACAATAAGCTCTGCATGCATTTTTAAAACATTTTTATTATGGCATATTTCAAGTATAGACAAAAGTAGAGAGAATAGTATAATAAATCCCCATTAAACCATTGCTGAGCTGTCATAATTATCAATTCATGGCCAATCGTATCTTGTCTATACTTCCATCCATTTCCCCCAACCCTAGGTTATTTAGAAGCAAATTCAAGACTTCATATAACTTTATTGTAAATATTTCCATATATGTCTCTAAAAGGACTCTTTATTTTAAACATAACCACAATATCATCACACCGAAAAATAATACACACAATACCATCATCACACCTTAAAAATCAAGTTTTTGTCTGGGCTTAGCCACCACTGTGTCCCCAGGACTAGAGTAGGGTCTAGCATACCATATGGGTTCAATAAATAGGTGTTCAATAAATGAATGCCTGACCTCTTTGCCTCTTTCTGAAGCTTTCTTTATTCGGTTAAATTTGTACTCTGCACACATTTTCATGGGGCCTACTTTTGGTTTGAATATTAGTATTTTATACCTTTTATAGTCCTGGAGGTGGAGAGATAGGAACCACTGGGGAAGGGGAAGAAAAGTAATAACTTTCACAAAAATCTCCAGCTCCCCTATTATATGCTTGACCCCATGTAAGTCGGGGATCCAGTGTTGACTAAGACATCATTGAATTAAATAGTTTCAAAGTTCATGTAGAAGAATGAAGACAGC